CCTGAGAAACGTCATAGCATAAGCGTAGACGAGGAGTCTAATTCCATGGCTATAATAAATTTATAAATTAAAAAAACACAACTGGGATGTTTTAAAATGCTGTAATAATTAAAATGGATCAAAGTGCCGGTTATAGCAAACCGTAAAAAAATTTAGATATTATGTTTTATTATCTTTTTTCAATATTTTCTATATCTTGTTGCCTTTTACGCAGACACGCCAATGGATTTTCGCTCCCGGCACGCTTCATCCCCCTTACTAGTCCAAAAGCTAGTGATGAGTCACTCTCTATAATTTCGACCGCGGAGTATAGAAAGTTTCAAGTTGTTACAAAAAAATTTGAAAATATATCCACAATTTAATATGTAAAAATCTGCTTGACTTTTCAGACATTAAAAAGCTTGTAGAGATTTATGTACTTTGTGTACACTTAAAATGTTATTCACAGTACAAAGTATGTTTTTTAAATGAGTTTAATTTTAAATCAAAATAGAAAAGGTTAATAATGATTTATTATATCTAAAAATGTTTATTTTTATGTAAAATGATTTTTATTTACATTTTTTTTATCTGATTTTGGTGCTAATTGAAGGTTATAGAGTATCCAGGGTGTAACTTTAAGTGAGGGTCAGTTTTTTAGGGGTAATAGTATGTTTTCCCCTTAATAGGAATCTGAAATTCTTTTTCTTTTAATTAAATAAATAGTTGAGTTTTAATTAGTTTTTTAAAATGCACTTTAATACTTGTGTACGCCACCACTGTAATGTTCTTGTATTACAAATACACGGATTGTAGGCAACCTTCAGTGCATGTGAAGGGAGATAGTGTGGATCAACGGTGACGAAATGAAAGGCGTTAGTTGTTGGTACGCATTTGGAGACTACATCTAACTGTGAATTTGAATATTTTTCATCGCTGGAAGCCATGAACAAACTATTTATTTTTATGTATTTCATTTACCATTATTGATTACTGCCTGAGTTTTTTGCTAGGTTACTTATTACTTGTTTGTGTGGTGATCACCCACTCATCAAAAGTATTTCGTGTGAAATTGTGCATACGTTGTGACTAAAGCGTGCCATTATTTGAAGTTACACTAGCTTCTCCTGAGGCGGGGTACGAAAATTACTAAAAAGATTCAAAAAAAAAGTTAAGTTTTTACGACAGAATTTGAAAAACAAACTATTGATAGGTGTTTCTAAAGGTCAAAAGAAGCCTCTGTATAAATATGACCCCACTCAAAGTTTCACCCTGTATAAAAACTAAATATTTACAACATTTTAAACTGTTGTGTGGTGTGAAGTATTATTTTGCAGTTTTTATAGCATGTCTATTGCCAAGTTCACAGAAGTTTGATTGTGGCGCACTACACTTAATTGAACCAAACATCGAGCGGTACTCCCTTCGATTCTTTACCCCATTTTGCTGTTGCACGGTACTGCCGCTTGAAGTTAAAATTATTTTTAAGTACATTTATTTGAACTGGACACCTTATTTTTATTAATTTAATTAATTCAATTTTGCATTTACCACATTTGTAACAATAGTACGCTACAGTTACACTGTACATAATAAAAAATTATGGTAGGGATCTGTGGCATGCTACAGTCGAAGTTCTGTGAACTCCGCATAAGCTTTATCTTATTGCTTTAGAATATTTGTTAGCAATAGTTGATACCAAGGACATTTAAATAAAGGGGACTATGCATGTCACAGTCTATCTCATATGTTGGGTGAAGCTAGACAAGGGGAAAGCAGAGGGCTTTATTTTCATCCAACTGATGCGCGCGATTACATCTCCAATGTCGTACATTTTGGATGGGCCAAAATAAAATATTTTATAGTCCTAATTCAATATATTTCAACAGCTACTCAGTATTTTTATAATAAATATATATATTTTTATAACTTCTTGGAATCCCAATAACTGTAACCATTTCTTTCTCGTTGCACCATCCCCAAGCATCCTAAAAACATTCACATTTCACTTTTAGAATACTGAGGCAAATTTTCAGTGAGACATAAAAATATATTCCCAAAGGAGAACATCAAATGGTTGAATTAATGCAACTTTCAGTCGATTGCATCTTCGGTATTTTTATGTATAAGTGAACCACCACCATATTTTTGCTGTTGTATTTATTCAGTTTTTATGCTCGTGCATTTAGTAAAATTGTAAATATATATTTGAAAAGGTTTTTGTCGTAGAGGAAAATGAAAATAATGAATGATTAAAATTTGTAATGTTGGGTATAAGGGATAACATTGAAATACCTATAAATATATTAAATATAAATAATGTCTGTAACTTATTTGTGGTGCAGCATTTTCCTTTGTTTTTAATTACTATTTCAGCAAAAATTTTAAGTCAGTTTTATAAAATTTTACCATTATTCAAATAAAAGTTACCCACACGCACGACAATGGCCACAGTTGCATATACATTCCAAAGTCACCTTCAAGCACGCTTACCTGTGGAAGGATAGCTGATGTGGATGTTTATAATCCAATTTCTTACAAATTCTGCACTATCTAACCATATTCACACCTTAAAAGTTTATCCAAAATACATGTATAAACACTAATCACGTTTCACTTACTAAAATCACAACTATTTTCTAACAAGAGACGCCATATTCTGCCAACCACGGCAGAACGAACGAGGAACACGCTACAAATTATTGCGTAGTTGCCAAGTCTTCAAACATGGCAAATATGAAAAATTAAAAATAGTTTAATATGTACAAAATTTAACAATATTGTATGCATAACTTAATAATACTATCCTATAATAATAATTTTCACAATTGTGATGAAAATTGCGATAAAAATATTAAGTACATTTCCAGTATAATTATACAGCTGACAACAATGATACAATTAGACTGTGAATAGACCAGGCTTCATCTAGAAATGTAAATAAATAAGTCCCCTTTATTTAAATGTCCTTGGTTGATACTATTACTTTTTTGCTAATATTGGTATAAGTTGGTGGAACATTTATCGTAATATAATTAATGTCAGTGGCGAAGCGTACGGGTAGGCAAGGTAGACATTGTCTACCCAAAACATTGTATTGTATTTTCCAAATGTATTAGCAGCCAAAGAAAAAGAGCATCAGGTTGAATTAATTACCTGACCGGCTATTGTAACATAATTCAAATAAATTGTATATTAAAGACAGGCGGGAGTGACGCTACGCTAAATAATAACTGGGTAAACATTTCTGAATTTGTTTTTTCCGTGGTTAGCGCCAAGAGACTGCACGTGCACGAATCGCCACCGCGTAAGTACTCAGTGTTCAGTGTAGACTGGATATTAAGGGTGAAAAAGACAACTGATCATTTGTCTATCACAGTCGGCAAGCGAAGTATTGTCCTGCTGTCTACATTACAGGGTCAACTGGAATAGCTGCAATACTTCCCGTTTTATTTTTATTTAAATTTTTATACACTATTATGTAAAATGTGCATCATAATAAATATTTGTATTTATTATTATTATTATTTCTTTTAAGTACTTAACAGTTAATGTTGTGAGTTGAACGTAATATAGATGCTTTTACAAAAAATAACTTAATTCTTTGTACAATTTGAATTTTTTTCTCTCAGTGTCTACCCATGAAAAAATTTCACGCTTGGCCACTGATTAATGTAAGTGATGAACATTCAATAACAGTCAGATTCTTGTTATATTAAAATGTGGCTTGTTTGTGATCTTTCTTTATTACAACAACTGATAGCAATTTTACCATGGAAAATATTTTAAAAAGTTTTACTGAAATTTTATCATTTTACTCAATTTTTGAATTCTTTGGCCTCCAGACAAAGTGTTATAATTAGATTTAATAAAAGCCAAAGAACAAATTTTACTATACTGAATATCACTGATCATAGAATTTTATTAAAATAAATATGTCACTAGTATTGGTAGTAGGTAACAGATATTGAGGGTAATTATTTTTTAAGTTATTATAAGATTAAAATTTAAAATAATTACAGGTTCTGAAATTTTGAGGAAAATAGAGAAAGAAGGAGAGAGGTTAGCGGCTCCTGATGCCTGTCCTCCTGCAATTTACCAAACTCTCCTTCAGTGCTGGTCAAAAAATCCTCAGGAACGACCAACATTTGCTGCCCTAAAAGAATTTTTCCGCAAAAATGTTACGCCTGTTATGAAAGCTTTAACTAAGCAAGACGAACCCGATAAACTGAAAATAATTGAGGGTGATGAAATTGCTATTATAGATGGTAGTGCCGAATTATATTGGTGGAAAGGCCAAAATCAAAGAACCTTTGACATCGGGAGATTCCCAAGATGTTTGGTAAACCCAATGCGGCCTAAGCAGCCTGAAGATATTAGTAAACCGCTTGATAATTCTTTTATACATACAGGCCACGGTTCTGCCTTTGGGGAGTCTTGGGGAAGCCCCTCTCACATAGATGAAATGTACTTAAAGAACCCAATGGATCCTCCAGATGTTATTGGCATGCAATGCCAACCGAAACCCTCACCCCAACTCTATGATAGAAGAAAATCTCAAAAAAGCAGTAAGTATTAATTCAAAGACATACGATATAGAGAGATGGTTAGATCCAGGCAAAGTTACATATTCGCTAAACAGTAATTAAAAAAACAATTAATATTTCCTCAAGTTAATAAGATTTTTTTTTAATTTTTAATTTTTAATTTCTATGTGTTTTAAACTACTTGATAATAGGAAAGACCCTTAAGGTCATTTTCATTTCTCTATTTAAATACACAAAAATATATTTAGTGCAATATATCTTAATACCATCATCGTTTCTTTTTAGATGTAAACTATCCATATCTTAACTGTTCAATTCCTCCATTTCTTCTAAGTGCAGTGATGTGTTTAGTAGCATTCAGGATATAAAATCATTAGCAGTCCTATTTTTTTGTAACGTTATTAATATTTATATTTTTTATACAATTATGTAGAAACCTTCATAAATTAAGAAGAAATTAACAAAATTTTAATGAATATATAACATTAAAATTAAATTTGTAATGAAACGTTCAATATAGTTAACTTCGAGTATCTGGGACAACTGAACACTCGGATTATCTATTACAATATTTTTTTTATTTATTTTTTAATTATGAACAGAACTATGTACACTCGACGCAAGACAAAGGTTTCCAACCTAAAAGGCATACTAATTTTAAAGGGGCGAGCCAGTGGATAGGAATTTTGGGAGGCATCAATAATTAGGGGCGTGTCATATTTTTTTTTGTGTAGGCACACACAACAAAAAATTGCAGGCCTGAAGTATATGCATTATAAAAAGAGAAGAGTATACAGGTTTTGAAATTATTTTGTCTTGCCACATTATTTTTTTTGTCCCTGAGAAAATTAATATTTTAAAATAAGAATTTGTGTCATATTCTGCAGAAAGTAGGTAGGTAGGTCATGAAGGCAACGAAATAAAAAAATATTGTAAACTACAGTTTTATTATAACTTATACAGTTTCGGGGGAAAGGGAAATATTTAAGGACGTGTTCTGGAAGTGAAAATAAGTAAATAAGTTGATGACATTATGGGTCCGGAAATGTTTCCTTTCTGAGATAGATGTCGAAAGAAATTTGAAATCCGGTTTTTTCTAATTATTTCGAAAACGATATAAGATATTACACTGCCACTGTACTATACACCAAAGCTCAGTGTAATATCTTAAATCGTTTTCCGAAATATTTAGAAAAACAGGACTTTTTTAAATTTTACATCTATCAGAAAGGAAGCATTTCCGGGTCCATAATGTTATGAACTTATTTACTTATTTTGACATCATTTTATAAACAATGAAAAAACAAAACAGTCTAATAATATGTCCAACCACCATCCGAATCAATAACGGCTTGTAATCTGTTTGGCATAGATGCAACAAGGCGTCGTATATTATTCACATCTATAGTGTTCCAAATATTTTGTATACGTTCTGAGAGCGTATCTCTATTTGGTGGAATATCGTATACTGTTCATTCAACTGACGCATTACATAAGCCCATAAATGTTTTTTTTATAAGAAGTAGGTAATTTCCATTTTGTTTCATTCCAAAATATTGATTAGAACCCAAGTTATCACGGAAATATTATTTTTGGGGGTGAACATGAGGGTTAGTTTGCATCCGTTTAAATCCGTTTTAGGCTTAAAGAAAAAATATTAGTCCTTATTAATATGTATTTACCTTTTTGAGATTAACAATGGATATTGAGCATACAATAATTTAAAGAAACACATGTTTACTGACGCACGTGCATTGACTATAGCGAACAAAATAATCTATCTTTGTCATAAGCATACGAGTTGTCCACCACTTCGGTACCATGAGTGCGACAAAGGGAACGTGATTTTTTATCTTTGTCCTGGCAGTGTTGTAGGAGCTAAATAAAATTCAAAATATAAAAAGGTAAATAAATTTGTATCTGTCTAAAAATCAAACGTAAAAAAAATTCGAAGGCAACTTTTCATTATTTTAAATAATCAATAATAATAATATTGCTTTATTTGCTAAACAGACCATCGAATAGTATAGAAAAAAAAACGATTAAAAATTTGAAATTGTTGTAACTTTCTTATTAAAAATTAAAAATTATATCTGTTTCTCTGAAAAGATAAGTTACATTTTTTAGAGTAGATTGAAAAAAAAATTACAAAATTCATTAATTTTTCTGCGTGTTATGATTTTTTAATTTATAATTTCTGAAATATTCCCTTAACTTCCAGCCTCCCTAACTCTGTTAATTTTAACAGTACAAGAAAAAGTCAAGAGGCCATTTTTATGTAAAATTGTATGCTTTAGAACTTTTATAAGAAACTTCAACTGATTTCATTGCGGGCACCTATACAGTGTTCATTAATGGCATTCAGAAAAAACCAGAGGCATTCTATGGCTAAAATTAAGTAAATTTTGTTACACACAGGTAGGCTCTTAAGGCCGCCGTTTCCGAGCTGCAGGGTTTTCAAAATTAAAAAAAATATCAAATTTTCAATTTTCTTAAATCCATTCATTCTGACTATTCGTAAGTAGGTAGCAGACGTTCCGCAAGATTTATTAACTAGGATGAATCGATTTTTCTATTTTAATGTAAATTCAACTCTTTTAATAGAAACAAGATAATAAAAAATGCATACGGGGTCTGCTATAAGAGTTTGCCGATTAGTCCCATTTTAAAAATACCAATCTACCAGGAAAGCATTTTTGTACAAAACTCGTAAAATGTCAGATGTGACGATAAAATATTGCCATAAGTGTTTAATGGGAACGCCCCATATAGATAAGCGGTTAAGCCGTCATATTTCAAACAAAATACGATTCAGATTGGAAACCTTTACCTTGCGTCGAAGTGTACATACAAAGCCAATAAAACAGAAATTTATGTTTTATTATAATTTTGATCTTATTGATTTAATAATAATTTTTAATTTTACCGAAATTTAATTGCCAACATGAAGGAAATAAAATTACTGTTCCAAACAGAGTACTGTATGTATAGGCTGCTCCATTTTCGATGGGAATTCAGGGTATTTTAGAAACTACTAAAGATATGATAAATATGACAAGACGTTCTCGAATATATCACATATATATAAAACACCCCATATCTTCTGTGTTTATAAAAATAACTATAGCGTGTGATATAACGAGAAACGCCCTGTAACTCAGAAATAAATGAAAATAGCAAATTTCTGATTTGACAATTGAGCTTGCCATGAAAATCGTGCTCGAATAAGCGGTGTCAGATTTATCAGATCTTTAGTAGTTTCTGAAATACCCTGAAATCCCACCGAAAATGGACCAGCCTGTACAGTACCTTCATAAATGTCCAAGTCCCACGTGACAGCGATTGTTATGCAATCAAACTTACGATGGAGTCGGTGATTAACACAAAATTCCCTAAAGACAGAGGATAGTCCTGTGGAGTACATTTTACATTTCTTTACTGTAACTGTAATCTGCAAAATGTGTTTCTTTTTCAATAAAAAAATCATTTTTTACGTTTTTACTTACAAAATAATTATACGCCTCTAAGATATTTTCAATTTTTATCTCATTCTATATTGAAAAAGTATTTTTTGATTGAAAATATAAAAAATATAAAAATATAAGCTCTTTTGTAATCCACTTTCATTCAGAAATAATGTTAATAAAATGTTTGTTTTATTTTTTTTCAATATTTAAATATAATAAATTAACAGACAAAGATTAATTTGTAGAAATACACAGAGATACTCTATTACCTGTTTCATGGAAATACTGGTAAACACTGCTAGATTGTACAAATAATAGGCGGCATAAAAACAAGGAAAATTACGAATGTCTGATTTCATCTAGGGTCGTATACTCGTGTTCCATAATAATGGGCAGTGATTCATATCTAGCACTTAAACGAGTAAAGGAGTTGAGGGGTGTACGGGACAAGTTTCCATAGGCATACTACTTGGGGGTCAAAGACCAGAAAATTATAAAAAATAAGTTCAGGGTGAATATTTACTTTAAAAAAGCTTATAGACTCACTGTCATCCTCTCCACAATTGTTCAGTGCCGTCCTTTCAGATAGTGATGGCCCACCACCACCCACTTACACCTATAAGATGCGCACGCCGCGGATTTTAAACTTTATCACTTATAATAATAAGTGATTATGAAACGTCTTCACTATAGCCATCCTTGTCTATTGCACGGATTTCTTTACCTTACTTTGTCGTTCTCATGTAAAGGCAAATGGACCATGTGGATTTTCCAGCCCTGTATACACACCCCCTGTTCCAAACATCCTGCTGTACTTACAGTATGCATTAGGTACTGCCCTTTTCCAGAAGGTAACTTTAATCCAGCAAAAATCCTTCCAGAAATGCCTGCTGTTTGCTTTGGATATTGCCTTCATGCCACACTTTTGTTACCGTATGACTTTTATTTATCCATGTTTCATCCGTGTTATACAGGGTGAGTCAAAATTCACTCCCCAGCGGCCGGATATTTATTCTAAAATAAAAAATAAAACAAAAATGTAGAATACTAAAATCTCGAAAATGAAGCCGTTTTTGGAAAATTTTTACATAATTTTTTAATTGTAAGTATGGATTAACCAATATGTAGATATGTTACTAATTGTAAATAAAACTAATTTGTGTTTGAAAATAATGATTTTTGCTGTTTTAAAAAACGTACGTAAAAAATAAATAAAAATTCTGATCTGATTGATATGAAATGTTTTATTAAAATCATTTGAAGTTTTTACAAACAATTATACGTTACTATTTTTGTACTCAGGATGGGCGATGTGAAAATTTGCTTTTTAATAACTTTTCCCTTAAATTATGAGATTTGACAACAATGCATAGCCCAATTCCCAATTGTGCATACGTTGTGACTTAAGCACGATATTGTTTGAGGTCACACTAGCTTGTCCAACTTTAATGAAAATTACTAAGGTTAAAAAGAAATTGAAGTTTTGATGACGGAATTTGAAAAAATCAACTATTGACATGTTTCTAAAGGTCAAATGTAGCCTATATATAAATATGACCCTCATTCAAAGTTACACCCTGCTTACTGGATTTGCTATTGATAAATCGTAAGCTGGAATTGTATATCTATTGGAATAATACAATCAACATGTGAAAGATCTTGGCATTTATTTTGAAAAAAAAAAAAAATCCAAAAAGATTTAGTTTTGTGCAGTCAGTTAATTTTTGCCTCTACATAATTTAGTCACCAGCTAAGTTTCATTTTTTTTGCGAAATATTTCGAGGCTCTATATTTTTAAAACCAATGCCTTTAGGAGCTTTTTTTAATAATCTGAAGAATAACCCCCATTATTAGTGGAATGCACTTAAGAACTAACCTATATAAATGTTCCATCAGAATCTTAGTAACCACACAAATATTTTGCAGCTAATGGCTCTCTAAGAAAACCTCTTGAAAATCAGTTCAATTATAAAAAGTTAACTAACCAAGAAAGTTTTAAGGGAAAACCTCAACGGCCACCCCAACCAAAAGTAGACACGACCGCAACTAAAGAGGGCATTCTTATAGATTTATCACCTGAGGAAGAATCGATGCTACGAAAACGTTCCTGTCCCAGACCAGAATCTCGCGCAGTGTCGTTACTTGATGAACCCATTGATGTACCTCAGGAAGGTAAGAAGATTCATATAAAATAGTTAATTTTAGAGTTTGTATCGGAGTATATTAAAGTCTGTAACTAACCCTTGCCCTCAGTCTCGGCTGCAAAAAAAGACAAATTTGTCAAACCAAACCCATAAAGTACGTCTTGGTCCTTCTTTTATCTAATAATTATAAAGGGTGTCCCAAAAGTAACGCAAGATTTGAATTGTGTGCCATTTCCATTGTGAAGAGTTGGCAGCATTGTGAAGGGTCACATGTTGCAGTAAACACGATTAGACAAAATGGAGTGCTATACAACGGATGAACAAGTGATTGTGAAAATTCATTACAAGTACGGAGAGTGTGTAACTGAGACTGTGCACAAATAACGTGGATTTCCTGGTAAAAAGAACACCCCAAATGAAACAACAGTTAAAAGAATAGTTGCCCAATTTAAACAAACGTATGTAGTTGCGGGCAATTAAAAAACAGACCGACCAGGTACTGGTCGTTCAGCCGAAAATATTGCTATGGTAAGTGATAGTGAGGTGGAAATTTCTGTAACCTCAATGTGCCATCAGTCACTGCAATTAAGCATTTCAAAAAGCACAATGCAGATTTTAACAAAAGATCTGTATCTGCTCTATTCAAGATCCCGCTGACGCAGGAATTGCAGCCAGACGACCATTTAATAATAAATGAGGCTGGAAACGCAATGACCGTCAATGGAGAATGATATTGAGAAATGTTATTGAACTTTTTTTGACCTCATTTGGATGACATGGATTTGGATAATATGTGGTTTCAGCAGGATGGTGTCAACTGCGATATGGCACGTGAAACTATCCACTTGTTGCGGCAGAAATTTAATGGACGACTCATCTCACGTAATAGTTTTCAGAAAAAAATTGCGACAATCAGATAATACACAAAGAATTTTTTAACTCAGGTATCCAGCTTAAGGCATTTCTGAAAATCGGTAATTAACATCAAATGCATCTGGAAAAAACTTTTACCAATATATTCTCATATACCAAATTTCATTTTAATGGTTCAACGCATTTTCCCCTAGCGCCCTTACCGTGCATTTTTGCATATAGGTAAATTAGTATAAACCGCCACAGTTTAACTTACGGATCTAGGCTGGCTCGCTGGTACATTACATTTCAGGGACACCCTGTATTACTGCAGGGTGTTAAATCTGATGTAGTCATTTTTTGGGAGCTTCTTGTTCTCTTTCAATCTAATCTATTGTCCCGGATAGAGCACATGCAAATGTCAACATGTCAACATGTCAACATGTCAAAGAGGTAATATGAAATGAGGAGGTGCACTGTCATGCATAGACCACATTTCATAGCAAAGTACCACATTTCATAGCAAAGTAACAACAAAGTAATCTTCTAATAAATGTGACGTTTGATTAAAAAAATTACGATAGTTCAAAAATTAAAGTAAGACGTGATAAATCTTATCGAATCACTGATCACTAAAAACTGACAGGTACAATGACTTAAAAATGAAACTGAAATCAAGGACAAAAAAAAATCAGTTTCTGCTACCAATTTATTATGTATTGTATTACGGTTGACATGATATGTAGAATCTCAGAATAATTTTTTTGTACCGAAAATTTAATAAAAATTGTACAAGAAGCAAAAAAATTTTATTTAAATCGGTCAAAACATAAAGAAGACAGACTTGTATCACATTTAAGTGGACACCCTGTATATGTATTTGTTTTGCTCGTTTTTTGTTGCCATGCACATACAGGATGTTCTCTAAGTTGAGTCATTTATTTTAACAGCTGGTAGAACTCATAAAAAAAAGTCAATTTATCAAAAATCGTTTATATAAAAGTGATCAAATATAGCAATTATTAACAATTATTTAAAAAAATTGAAATTTAAAAACTATAATACAAACCTGATTTATTGTCATTTTCGACTACTTCGTACGAATTATTTAGCACTGTCAAATCGAAAAGCGTACTCCAAACCGTGAAACTACAAAAAAAGACATACCCAGTACCAGTATTAAACAGATAATTTGTGTTTTTACAACAGAGTGGTCGAAAATGACAATAAATCAGGTTTATATTATAGTTTTTAAATTTCAATTTTTTTAAATAATTGTTAATACAGTACAATCTCACTAATCCGGCACCATTAAAAACCTAAGGGTCGGGGTACTGGAAAATTCGGATTAATGGAAAATTTATATGTAAACAGTATTAAATTAAAAAACGTTACTTTTAATTGTTTATTAACAAAGAGATTGGTACATAGATACATACATATTACAGTTGTGTATGCACAAATATGTCGGGCGTTTCACGTCAACGAGCACAGTGGGCTGCCCAGAATAAAAATGCATCAATATTGACGTTCGACGTGTCAAAAGCTTCATATTTAAAAACTCTATCGAATGCCGTCTGGTGATTTAAAAAAAACATCATGGCGGTTCCAATATGGCGTCCGCAATCATGGAAAATTCTATTTAATCAGCAATATTGATAGATAAGAAACATAAAAATACTGTATTGTAGACTGAATCACCATATCTATACGGTTTTGGGGTTGCTGATTTCAAATTCAATATTCATTAAACCCCCATCTGGTCACTGTTCGTCTCTAACCTTAAAAATACTTCAAATCGTTGAAATAATGCGTTTCTACGATGAGTAACACAGTCTAACCACCACAATTTATGTTTTCGGGATCACTGAAACCAATTCTGATATCAATATAACTTCAACTAGTCAGAGTTCGTGCCGATGTATATTGTAATGTTTTTATGTTTCTGTAAAATAATCTTTCAACTAAACTATAACTGTATAAACTGTATTCTTCAAGAATAGTACGTGTGACGCGGAAAAAATAACGCTGGATTACTGGACGTGCCAGTGTAGTGAAGTGCCGGATTATAGAGATTATACTGTAATTACTTTATTTGACCACTTTTATATAAATGATTTTTGGTAAATTGACTTCTTTTTATGAGTTCTACCAGCAGGTTAAAATAAATTACTCAATTTTGAGAACACCCGGTATAAGTTTTCTTCAGGGTATAAGATAACAACTGATAATACATTCAAAATAGGAAAAAGGAAGTATATGGTTACCTCATATGTTTATCTTGTTTCCTGAATTTTGTATGCCTGTTGACAGAACATACAGAAAATCCTGTATGGTATTATAAACATAATTACACCCCACAGAATGCTTTTAGGAAACTATTAACATATGCGATCACAATTATTGAGTATCTTTACAAATTTACTGAACAAAACGGAAAAGGTACATTTTCTGATATTCTGATGTTCTCCTGATATTTCAACGCGAAAAATGAAAGTTGCTCTAGTTTAGCGTTACTCTTCATTTCTTCCTGGATGGATCTACTTGTTTTATAATTGTCTTACTAAAAGTGTAATTTCTTGTCTAAAACACTAGATAGAAATTTAGATCTATCAAATTTGGTACAGATGGATAATGTATGGATAATGGAAATGAAAAAAAAGGAACCTTTAAACCAAATGAGGATAATAATCAAACTTCATCACTGAAAAAAATGCTTTTGTGCTCAGAGCATCTTTTTGTCGATTCATTTTAAAGTATTTAAAATTTGTTGTCATTTAATCGACCAATAAAAGACATCAATAATTCTTATGTAATTTAAACATTGTTGGCAGTTCTTCTTTTCATAGCAACTTATTACAATGTACTTTAATCTGATCAGCTGTCGCTGTGAAATAAAAATCTAGAGCAAAAATAATGCATTAATCATCAAATATATCTATAAGTACGACTGCAACACTAACCAGACAAATAAAACATTTTACCTACGACCACTACTGTAAATACTTAAAAACACACTGTCTGCTATCGATGTAAGATTCCTATTACGCACGGTAAAGAAATCGCACAGTTTTCCTAGCAACTGCCTAGCAACGGCCAATACAATACTATTTGTATTGACCGTTGCTAGGCGGTTGCTAGGAAAACTGTACTATTTTTTTACCAAGCTGTGCGATTTTTTTACCGTACGACGTAATAGGAATCTTGCATTGATCGCAGACGGTGTGTTTTTAAGTATTTAAAGTAGTAATCGTAGGTAAAGTGTAGTATGTAATACGTGGTGTAATGCAATTACGCACTCACCGCTACGCGGCGTCGTGCGTAACTTTTCCATTTGTGCGTAAAATGCTTTTTACAATACTTATTACGTAATATACTATTACAAGTACTTAATTTTGAATTTGGTAGCGACTCAGTTGACTAGGTGAATGTACTAAACGATGAGTAGACAGTCCAGCACTAAAACTTTGTGATACCTTCAAGGCATTAATTAGAATTATTTAAAAAACTAAACTTAATTCACCAATACTATTGAATAAACAAATAAAAAAAAGTTCAACAAGTCCATTGTCCATAGATTGTGAAAGTATGTTGCACTTTTCATCAGTGTTATTAAATTTATAGTAAAATATAGAATGTTTTTTTTTGTAGGAAACGACGTTTGGCTCGAAGGTTCATCTGAAATAGTTCAAGAATCAGAGAAAGGCCCACCACCTTATCTTGCACCACCTACCTATTATAATACCTCAACTTGTGCACAAAATACTTTAGTGACTGATCCTTTTGATACTTCTAATATTTTTATAAGCTCTATGACGCAGCCCCATTCTACTCAAGAAATATCACCTTCAGTTTTTGAAAATGCGGAGACTGAATCGTCTATAAGTAGTTTATCCTCTTCCAATTTAGTTAACAAATGTAGCCAAAAAATAAGTAATGTAGCCACTTGCAATTTTAATAGAAATTTAAGTTATAGTACAAGTTATGTCCAGAGTGATATTACCAATAGAGGAATGAACTATGTAAAGCCTAGTGTTCTTGAAAAAGACAGCAGTGTTGCAGTGTCTAAATCCATTGCAGCAGTCCAAAAGGATATTGCGATTCCTCTTGCCATGAAATCGAATAAAGAAAATGGTGATCTAGTAACTAATATGTCATCGATGAAGTTGAATGACTCCCCAAAAAAGACTTTTGATGGAAAATTCCTTATGGATTTAGAGAAGTACTTGATGGGAAAAGAGAAACCTCCTGAAATACCTATTTTAGATCCTCCTCCAGCTCACTCTAAATCTCCTAAGAAAAACGAAACGCAAGTTACACCAAAAACTGATAATAGTAAGTAATCATGTTTTTAGTAAATATTAATCTTAATGTCCTACTGGTCTATTATTTTGAGATTCATTAAATGACAAATAACAGCTGTAATACCTTTACTTTTTGAAATGGTAAACGATTAGTTTGCTCAGTAGGTTAGTTTGGATTAGATCCAAATTTTGTAAGAATTGTGACTTGGTGGTCAATATCTCGAATTTGGGTAGGCTTTGCAAAAATAATGTCACGACATCATCAACATCAAGATTATACAGGGTGTGCCATTTAATACTCCCACTGCCAATATCTCCGAAATGAAGAAATTTATTTTAGTTCTGGGAATTGGGGTTGTTAGTTCTCTCTAATAGCTTCAAATTGTAGTTAGAATTGTTAGTTTAAATCTTTCTGTATAGATGGCGTGGCGATACTAAAAAATTTTATGGTCCCTGTAATGTGGAAATGCAGTCCAGCTGAAAGATCGTTAAATTTTAAGTAATATTTGTAATATAAAGTTTTTCTCTATATTTACTTGTTTTCGAGATATGTCGACTTCAATATGTGATGTATGATATAACAGGAAAATCTATTATTTTATTTTAATTAAATCATACTGAGATAAAATATTCTTTAAAAATATTGTAATAGCTTTATTCACATCACATACTAAATAACAAACAATAATTTATAAAAAACACGAATGATCAACTACAGAAAAAAAAATTGTACAATGGTAAATCTTATAAGGGGCAGAGACGAACCGTATTTTATCAAATGTTATTAAAAAATGTAGTCATAGGTGGCTCATGTCATTTGTTTAAAATAAGACAATGACAGATGACACATATTAGTTTTCCAATAATTGCAGTTTTATCAGTTTACATCTTTCAATTTAACTATACTAGTTATAAGATTTACCATTGTACAATTTTTTTTCTGTAGTTGATTATTTGTTTTTCTATACAGAAAGATTTGAACTAATAGTTCTAACTACAATTTGAAGCTATTTGAGGGACCTAACAACCTCAATTTCCGGAACTAAAATAAACCCATTACTGGCCAAAACAAGAAAAACACATTTTTTAATAATTTTTTTATTAAAGTATATTCAAAACACATACATTAAGCTATTGAAAAAAATCACAAACACTATTTTGAAATAAAAAAACATTTAGGTGCATATACGCACCTTTGGCAGAAAACAGTTATCAAAATTAATAAAACTAAATTAGTTTTTTATGTAAAAATTTTCAAAGTAAGCTGGATGCAAATGCACTTTACACAAATAAATAGTTTTATTTTTGCGAAATCAACACTTTTATCTTGCACTATTAACCTCTCTATAATATAATATGCCCGATATTATCAAATTTGATTTCACCTGGTAGAGCGAATTGAGAGGGTCTTCCATGCAGTTCAGGTATTTGAAACAACATCGCTGTTTTCTATATCTAAAGAGAGTCCTAAATCCGAAAGAAATTTTAGCTGAGATTTCGTTGTGTGCACAGTGTAAAGTGCATTTGCATCCAGCTTACTTTGAACATTTTCACATAAAAAACTAAAAGCGTCATTTTCCAAATCATCATCACTATCTATACTTGGTTGTATTTCATACGTTCCTGCAATATCTGTCTGCAATCCCTCTTCTCCAATAATATTTTCATCAAAGTTTTTCTCATCTGTAATTTCATCTGTTTTTGGCGGCACATAAAAAACATCAACCAATTCAGCATTTTCACAATCTGAATCCTCTTCTAACAAAGCAAGTAACTCTTTAGTGGTTAGTGCCCTTTTCATTTTCTATTTTGACAAATGACTGCAATAATATAAACAAAATTATACCTCTATAGCTTCTATACAACTCAAAAATCTCTTACCTCATATTGGCACTAGATGTATCCAAAAAAATAACTATTATACATTACAAAAAAATTTAGTTCAAACAATATTTTATACAAAACTACACATTTTTACACAAAGGAAAACCAAGAAGTACTTTTCCTTAAATTTGCATTTTCTAAACAGGGATTGTATGTGAGGATTCGGTTTTAGCTTGTCAAAATACATATAAAATACTAAAATAGTCTTATTGTGCTGGTTGTCACGTTTATCTCAACCTTCCAACTCGTGCTCAAGCGAGAATTTGAAGATTAAAAAAAAACTGGAGAGTGATGGAGCAATTTTGACTCCGGATTCGGTTTCAGCGCGTCAAAATACATAAGGATAGGTGGTATATGATAGTCTCTGGTATTTTCAACTGTTTTTGTTGTGGGTCTGTGTAATTATCAATAAATTTTTAAAAAAATAACAGACTGGTAGGTCATTAAATGTTGAAGACACCATGGTTGTTATAAGATAATGATGCCCTCAATCGCCCTTGGGCCAGATGCCGGCCTCAACCCCTTGTTATAACACCCTTGATACCTTAATTACTTTTTTACCTGTACTTTATTTCAAATTAGGTGATGTACATTCAACAGCTAATATAGTACAAAATGATACGACATCGATATTGAACAAGATGTGGTTGGATAGTGCCCACAATAGTAATACCAACTTAAAACAGAATAACAAAAATATACAAGTGGACGCAAATTGCACCCAACCCAGAAATGAAACTTATGTAGTTAATTCGGAGTTTGGTCAGTTTAAGAGTAATAGAAGATATGATCCTGTTTATGCCTCTTCAAGTATTATTTATGGGACTACCGAGGCTTATGGAATACCTACACCTTATAACAATGTAGGCGGTAAGTGCTCACTATTTGCATTTAATAGTTTCATAAATGTCTATAAAGCCGTATCATATGATAATATTATTATTGATGTAACGATTAGTTGTACTTTTTATAAAAACTTCTTGATAATTTAAAATTATTTAATTAATTTGAATATTGTAATAATTTTAAAATTAAATATAGTTATAATTATATGAGATGTTTAGAAACGATGATAAAAAAATTTAAGCAATTCTACTTCATAAAAATAATGGGATAGGCTAGTACGAGATTTTTTTTTGAAAACTTGACGTTAACTCTGTTTCAATCCCTTAAAGTATTTTGCTACACTAATTATTGGCAACAAATTGAGTACAATTAAAAAAATAGTCAAAATTGTAATTCCTAAAGGCCGACTGGAAAATGTATACATATATCTATAAATGTACGTAAGTGTGTACATATGTAAGTTTATACATACAGGGTGTCCCACGGTGACGAGACATTAGACATATTTCAGAGACTACTTTGATTTTAATTTTGACAATTTTGGCATTCGTGTTTTCAAGCATGCCCTTCTTAACTAAAATAATGGCATCCACCTAACGTTTCCGGTTATACCTGAAGTTGACGTCATCTTCGTTATTTTAAATGGAACACCCTGTATATTATTGCAATTTTGGATTCTACATCAATTTGTAGGTGAACTTTCATAAAGGTTTCCTATTCTTAAAGTTAACCATTTTTGATATATTTAATGTTTGAAAAAAAAAAATTAAAAGCACTGCCTAATTCAAATAGATGTGTATTTTACAATAATAGAGTTAGAACGATAAAAGTTATAGGGGACATAACTAAAACTCTAAGCTTCCCTGTCAGAAAACTGTTATACCATTCGAAAGATAACAAAATTGTTCATCAGGTTGCGCAAAAATATACAGGATGTTCCATTAAAAAAAATAAATTAAGATGGTTTAAAGTTGACTAAATTCGGCATTAAATTTCTACCACCCTGTATGAAATTAAATCATTTTGAAATTATGGCAGAGACACTTAGTATGTCTCCTATTATTTTTTTCGTTCTAACTCTATTATTGTAAAAGATACATCTTTTTGATTTCGGGAGTGCTTTTTTAATTTTTTTTTTTTAATTAAATATATTAAAAAACGGTTAACTTTAAGAATAGGAAACCTTTATGAATGTTTATCTAAAAATTGACGTAGATTCCACAATTGCAATAATATACAGGGTGTTCCATTTTCAAATAACGAAGATAACATCAACTTCCGATACAACCATAAGCCATTATTTTAGTTCGAAGAAGTCTCTGAAATATGTGTAATGTCTCATCACTGTGGGACATTCTGTATATATGTATAAATGTACAAGACAATAAAAATACTAAATAATAAAATATATTTTTGTTTCAACAATATTGTGCAATATGTTTTCTATTCAAATTCTGGTAAATTCTTACTATCATTTCTAAGTTTACACAATTTCTAAGGATAATTTGATAGATTTTAATGCATGCTCAAAAGTGTATTATAATTTTCGTATACGTTAAAATTTTGCGTCAGTTATACCTCAAAATAATGAGTTTTTAACTGTTTTAAAAGTTGCCCCTAAGTATTAAATCATTTTTCAGTTTAGACAAACTTGAAACGAAAGGACCTCTTTGGATTTTTTTTTTATGATTTTTAACACAGAAAAACTATAGATTATCTCTAAAATTATTATCATTTTTCTAGGCTATAAAGACTAGCCCTTTATAGCTTCAGAATTTTTAATGATTTTTTTTTCATAAATGCAGTTTGTTACTAAAAATTAGTGTACCAAATTTGAAAAATCATGTTTCTGAGGAAAAAAATTATGGCAAAAAGTTCGATGTTATGTAACTCTATTGATGTCAAATTTTTAAAAAACTGCCATACACTATAATTTTCATTAACAGAATAACCTAAATTTATGTATAGGTTTTGTATACCCCGTGGTAGCTTCAATATTCTTTGTACAAAGCTACTACAAATTCAAGGTGTATTTTGTACCAAGTGCCTATTGTATTTTGTCTTTCAGATACAAGACCCCAAATAATTTTTTTTTTAACAAAGATTTATTCATATGTTTTACAAAATACAAGTTTTTGAGGATGCTAGATATGTCAGTTCTGTTAGTGTTTGAGTCTCATGTAGATGTCACCCAGTAACATTTTAATATTTAACACGGAACATTTTTGAGATTAGATTTTTTTACAAAAAATATTGTCCCTAAGTAATCTAAAATATTGAAGGAAATTATTCAAATTATTCTAAAAAATAATAAAACTTCGTACAATTATCGCTACGTTAGTCGGGCGTTTTAGATACATTCAACATTTACCCTTTGTATCGTATTTCCCTTAGTAGATTATTTTGAATATGTTGGAACAACACACTCCACTGTCAAATAAAATGAGAAAAAAATATGTTTGAACAACAACTGAGTTTATTGTAAAAACATTGAAATAAAATTTAATTTTGATCGTTTAATTCAAAATGGTCTCTATTGAGATTTTATAGATTATAACTTGATAGTTCTATGAAGGCCGGTCCTGCCCACAATTATCAATATCTAAGCCCATCCCATTGAGTAAAACATACGTGGTTGAAGAATTTAAAATACAGGATGTCACGCTTAAATATGATACAAGCCTGTAACTTCTTTATTTTTTGGCCGATTTCAAAAATTTTGCGGAATGAGAATACATAATATGTTTTTTGGAAAAAAAATCGCTAATACCAATTAGCTGTTTTGACGTCAAAAAAACGCGGCCTAGTTGGCTGTGAATTGCATTAATAAAAACAGAAGCATTACAGTTAGAGTTTTTTTTATCCTTCATTCTAAAAAAAAATTTTGGAATCAGTTAAAAAATACAGAAGCTACAGGCTTGATCACATTTAAGTGTGACACCCTGTATATTCGTTACTGAAGTAGTAGACTCTTTTAATTTAAACAATAAAAATTAATTTTGAAAAACTTACACAGCAGCCTTAGGAAACAACTTTGTCTTTTGATTGTTTTTTTTATTTGGGCCGCTATGTTTATTCGTTTTCCAAATAAGTGTTATACGCCAAGCGCAAAATATGGGTTTATTTCAAGGGCACAACAGACTTAATAATCATATTACAACATACCGTATCTTTAAAAAAAAACTATAGGTTTTACCAACTTCTATACTTATGACCCTTTCTACAAAACACTTATTTGTTTTATGTTATTTATTTAAGTATTTTTTTTGAGAACTATTTTTTTTTTTTAGATGTAGGTGCAAATTTTTTTAATAACAGTGCCATGAACAATACACAAACTATTTATAACAATATAGGGGAAACTACATCAGTACTTACAAATCTCGTTTATAACAACACCGGAGTTCAAAATAGTCAGTGGATAACAGGCAATAGAGAATCTGTTAATTCGTATAATTCATATAGTACTCAAAAAGCAGTCTATGGGTATGGCACGCTTCCTAGTAGAGTGTACAGCGAAGTTAACGAGAGTTTATACCATGAAATACCAGAAAACTTATACAGCCAGGTACCTGATGAAACTCTGAAGCCTCATCGACCTGCTCCAACAAAGCCGGGCCTCCAGCCGTTAAGTATGCAACAAATACAAAGGAAAATTCAACAAGGACAGGTAAACAAAAACATATTCTGAAAATGCTATACATGTAGGAAAGTGCATTGTTGTCTGATTCTGTTTTTTTTTATTTTCTGCCAAGTTGAAGTCACTTTTCAACTAATAAATTTGTATGAAGACATTACACTTTTGAGAAAACGATAACAGAAACCCAAAGTCCATACAAATGGAAGGAAGAGACAAAAATTAATTTTTCCAAAACGTAAATAATGTCAGATAGTGGGGTGTAATAATATTGAATATACAGGGTGTGGCATGTATATTCTATAAAAATATTAAATTACAGCTTCCTGACGATATTTGTAATAGAAAAGTCTTATACAAAAAAGTTCTATCTTTACGTCTCAATGCAAAAGTACAAACTGAGAAAAATAGATATTTTAAAAAACTGTTATATTTTCTTATTATTACAATAATTAATAGTAATTACCAACTTAAATGGATTGTTGTTGCTGTAATCTGTAGTTGCCAACTGCGTGCACTGAACAAACTCCATTAAAATATGGAACAAAATGAAATAGAACTTACCATTTCTATTCTAGAGAAAATGTTGAAATTGATACCCATTAGCGCGGATACAGGCATGGCAGCCTATTTTGGCGAATATTTTCCCAAATTCCAGGTATTCCCCTAATTGTATTTGCAGTTTCAAGTTTATTTTTTGTTGCTTTATCTAGCTAACATATTGTAGCTAAAGTGCTATGCAGTACTTTATTACTACGAGGGTAGGCTGAAAATTAATGCACATTGCACACATGACCATACACTAACAAAACAACCTACCACGCTGCGCTCAGTGGTATAACAGACCTACATCCCCCTTACGATCAGTGTACGAAGTTTTGTTAAAATATGTCTACATGTCTATTCAGTACCCGTTACTGCACATTGGTTCAGTAACATGTGTGAACCAATGTGCAGTAATCGAATTTTTAACCTCTGAAAACGTGAATCCTTCTGATATTTTACGCCTGTTAAAAGCGGTTTATGGTGATGATACTGTTGATGGAAATATGGTGAATCGATGGGTGATAAAATTTTGCAAATGTGAACCCGGTAAAGTGAATATTAAGGACAAAGCTTGCAACAGATGATTGGTTTCTATAACTGACAAAATTCATTGCAAGAAAGTGGTCGATTTGACTCAAAGTGACCATCGAATCACGTAACAGCATATTGCGAACTATCTGGGAATATCGAAAGGACGTGTAGGCCATATCATTGGAGGACTTGGCTATCGAAAAATCTGTTCCAGGTGGGCACCACTGCGCAAATTGAAGTTCATTCCCTATTTCTTACCCTCCTTACTCCCTTTTTTTTTTAACTTCCCAATGTTGAAGTAACGAGATGAAGGAGGCAGTAAAGTATTGAATCAAAGAAATGGATGAAAATTTTTTCGTTGATGGAATGAAAAAACTTGCCACACATTGGGAGAAATGTATTATAAAGTGTTAAAGTGTATAAAAATAAATACATCATTTTGAAGCTAAAGAATTGTACTTTAATTTTTTTCCCATCCCGATATTTCTTCTCATTCCTCTTGTATGGTCGGGTATGCATTACTTTTCAGCCAACCCTCGTATTATTTCAAATGCCAAATGTCATGCAATCTGCAATAATTTTTCTATAATTTTTAATAACTTTCTAAAAATTGTGCATTATAACTAGAACCAGAAGTCAACCGATAACAAATATATACAGGGTGATCCATTGACGGTATGGTGCAGCTGTATATAGGAAACTATACGTGTTACGATTATGAGGTAAAAAATCAAGTAACAAATATGGCCAAAAGAAATTGATTTAAAATATTTTCAAGTTTGTAAGTACCGTCTGTAAGTTCTAGGAGGCGTAACTGCTAGTGTTACAGAAAATTGTAGTTTTTTCGAAATTTTGCTTTATATAACCTAATTTGAAAATACACTTTTTAGATACACTGTTAAACCCTTCACAAGGTTTGTTTGAACTTTTTTTTATTAGCATAGCAACGCCGGTATGAAGGACGCCATCTTGAAATTTTTAAGTTGTCACAACTTCTAAATGCCTTAATTGATTTCAAGAAATGATGGCTCATTTTAAAGAACTATTAATAAAATTTATATTTATGATATGGAAATAAAATTATTATTTTCCTGTGCAGCGGTAGATGATGCTAATTAGAAAAGTTTTGTAATTGTCTCCGTTTACTAAAAAAATTAAATGCAATGATATAGGTTTTTTTCATGGCTTGATAAACCATTAACTAAGGAAAACAAATACACGAATCGGAGGTTGATATTTTTTTTTCGTTTTTAGGTTATTGCTAAAATAGTGAAGTTGTGCTAGAACATCCTCTTCTATTTAGTTCTCTAAATAACAATGACAATAGTCCAAGCCAAAATTAAATTGTAAAACTATACCAAGCTTGTCTTTAAAAAAGTACTTGCTATATTTTGAAATTTTTTTGATAACTACATGTTTAATTTTTTTATTAATTCCAAATATCTGAATATTTATAAAGATTATTTCTATAATGAGGCAGGCTATGCCCTATGAAAATAGACAACTGAAAAATTATAGGCTTTTTTTCGCGAGTGAATATTGGTGACTACGTCTGACTTGTAGTTACTGTTTCTATCTCTTTTAATCTTATCTTGTCTAACCTGAACAGATCGCGAAATTGTATATATTCACTATTCACTATTCAGTGGTGCAGCCTGTCATATGTACTTTGACGACTTTGACATATGGGTTCTAACTTCTAACCAGTAACCATAATTTGTCATCCTTTATTGCTTCCAGTAATCTAGTGTTGTGGGAATTGGTGTTATCACACTATATAATATATGTATTTGCTTCAAATAAAACTGAAGGAATATATCAATGCTTTCTTTGGAATATTTTTAAGTGGCAAATTTAAAAAGCGTGAAAAGTATGTAGATTCTGATGTTGCAAGATATGCGAATATTCGACACAATCGTTATCGTAAGAGAATGGAATTTGGTCATTTATGTCAATGGCTACAAAACAGAAATTGTGACATGGCTCTATATTTTTTGATATTTTTGTGGAATGAGGATGATGATGTTCCTTATTTATGTTATAAGTTTAGAGAATCATATCATATATTCGGTTTTTTATGTAACTCATACGAAAAAGACCTGAATGATTCCACCAATATTATCTCTGGCCTAGGTCACAAAAAAAGAGGATAATCCTGAAGCAAAGTGGATCGCAAATATGTCCCATATAAAAAATTAATCTTACCATTAAGTAAAATATTTGCTGTTTCAACGTCTACGTTTACTAAAACATCTGTGCCTCTAAAGTTTAAATTTAAACTGACCACTTCCACAGTCGTATCAGAATCCATCATTTTGCTGAACGATTTTTATCCTCATTCAAACAAAATGTCAAAAAGAAAAAGGTTAAGTTACCGGCTGACAATACTAGTTGAATATACCAACAGAATATTCAGCTGAAGGGTGAAGAGTTCAGTCATTTGATCTAAACTTGTAACGTCACATAGTAGTTTAAATGACTGACTATTCTCGCAAAAACGTAATATTCACTCATACTACACATACTACAACATACGACTTCACTCGCGAAAAAAGCCTTATGTCAATTGAAATGTAACAGCTCTTGCTACTTGCAAAATTATTGTTATTTGTGAACAAGGAAAATGTCTTTTATGAATGTGGAAGCGTATGATATATTGGCAGTTAATTTTTAATGTTCGAAGGAGACATCCCTGTGCAAGAACAGAAGATAATATTATTAATGTGTTAGCTTGTGCCTATGTAAATCCCCAAATAAAAGTGTTAAGGAATTAGAGACCTAGGAATTTCCTATGGAACACAAGTACTTTTCTCACACAAATGACACTAATTTTGCACAAAGCAAGAGCTGTCACATTTCATTTGACATAATTTTTCTTTTGTCTATTTTCATAGGACATAGCCTGCCTCGTTATGGAAACAATAATCTTTATAACTACTCAGATATCTGAAATTAATAAAATAAATGAAACAATGCAATTATCAAAAAAAATTCAAAATATAGCTTTTTTAAAGACAAGCTTGGTAGTTTTACAATTTATTTTTGGCTTGGACTAGGTCACTGTTATCCAATCCATGTTTCAAAAAAACTTATGTGCAAGTTCCTTATCGGAAAATATTGTGGGTAGTACATATAACGTTTTTTTCTTAGACGCCCTATTTTCGAGACACAGTGTGTTGAAGTGTTGAAGTTTTCAAATGGTTTTTCTTAATTATCTTTAAATCGGCTAAAGATAAAAATGTCAAAATTTGTACACGAGTAAACATCAACTGGACGTTAAAAATAATGTGCACAGGAACAGGAGGGGTACAATAAAAAAAAATGTTAAGTCAAAATTTGTTACATTTCTAAACGTATTTGTAAACTACAGCATACTACAAAAATTACAGAATATTAAATTGAAAGAGGACGTTACCATTGAATGAGCTGAAGACATTTTTTAGACATATATTAATCTGTTGCTGAACTTATTTAGGTTTTGCAAAAACTGCTATATGACATTATCTGCTTATCCTGTAATATACTAACAGTAAATTTTAATAATAAATATCCTATATCTTTTCAGTTAAGTGCTGATGCGGAACGTTTAATGACGCCTGAATATCGCAGCAATAAAATCAGTCAAGTTAGAGATTGCATCCCTGATGTCGATAGTGATGAATGCCTTGCAATTCTACAATCAACTGGATGGGATGTAGCAGCTGCAGTAAAAAGTCTCAAAACAGAAAAATTGCTAAAGTAAGTGAATTAATATATTGTAAAGTTTATGTTATCTACAATAGCGTTTTATTGGTAATTAATTTTTTCTCGTTACTTGAAAAAATGGGAAAAAGAAAAAAGTACTGAATACAGAAAAGTACCTCTCGAAGCTACCCCTATGAAGTGACATTTTTTTTCATAAATTTTTGCAGCCTTGCAACTTAAGTCATGTAAAAATGTGAGAGCAGTTTTCAAATTATACTGAAATATTTCAAAGATATTATATGGTTCTTGTTGCACACAATTAACATCTGATACTAAATTGTTTTGTGGATGTACGAAATATTTATTATTAAAAAAACAAGAAACTCCATAAGAAGGGGGGAATAGGGTCATTCCATTTTGTGCAAAAAATAGGTACACTTCATTTATTATACAGCGTGTATTTAAATGGAGGGGCACAAACGATACTAGAGGTTCCTTGGGTGAAAATAAGTTGATTTAACCTAACATACCTATATCCCAAGTCGCATAATAAAAAAGATACGGGGTGTCAAAGTGAAAAATAAAAAATGGTTTTTCCTTAATAATTTCTATAATTTTAGTCAGAAATGTTTCAAATTTTCAACAACGAGGTTTTTTAATGATGGAAAAGTAATATAATAATAATTTTTGAGTGTCGAGTACGAGGTGCCCTCTGCAGTCAATGTTATGCATTGGATATGTAGTAACTTTTTTGCCAACCGCTATATACAGCTTTTAGTAACAAAATATGAAATATTAGTCTTTTTTGAACAAAAAAGGTATACTTATTACCATTGAGGAGATATTTTTAATTTCATAAATTGGTACATCCAAATTTCAACATAATTTTAGTTTAAATGTATTGGCCGAAGTCATAGGAGATTATCTTATTGGTCCGTTTATTCTTCCTCGGCGTCTCAGCGGAGCCGAATATTTGAGATTTTTAAATGAACAACTCCACTAGCTATCCGTGAAATCATGTGGTACGCACATGACGGAGCTCCTGCTCATATTACATTAGCTGTTAGACAATGTTTAAATTTAAATTTTCTTGGGAGATGGATATGTCGAGGGAACGATGCACCAGTCAAATGGCATACGCGATCACCGGATCTCACACCCATGGACTATTTTTTATAGGGTCACTTAAAAAATGTTGTTTATTCCAACTCTATTGATACTGTGGAGAACAAGAAAATGTGTTTTTTAATAAAAACACCGAAAAAACAATTAAATAGAAATTATACAACAAATGTATTCACACATGCTAAAATAATACGCAAAAATGTAAAGTAAATTTAAAGCAGCAAAAATAATCCCGTCTCAGTTGATTCCTGCGCCCCTTTGGTCGAATTTTAAAATACAGATACACAACTAATAAGTACTGTGACTCAATGCGTTCTGAATTTATTAATAGTCCAATCGGCAGAGGAGGAAAAGTTACTGTTGGTGACATTTTCTTGATAACTCGGAAATAACTACACAGGAATACTTTAAATGATGAGTACAATAACAGGCTAATTTGCTGACAAAGTATTTTATCAGGAAAAAAGTTATTAACAATTTAATCGTGAAAAATTTTTTTTTTGTAGTTTTCTAAATAACTCAGCGGGATGACTTTTTACAAAAAAATGCTTAGGACATGATTTTGTTCGTAATAAAAATAGCTACAAAATGGCAGTGGTCCGATTACAAAATTTGCAATAACAAAGCCGTGAGATTGAAAAAACGGTATAAAACGCCAATTTTTTTAAGTTGCTGTAAAAATGTCAATTATAAACAAAAAGTGATAAAACTTTCGAAAACTATAGTTCAATATATATACAATAATGACGCTAAAGCCGAAAATCAGGAGAGCAAAACTTTTTGTTCTATAAGGTGTTATACATTCATCGGCATCTGAAACTCGAAACTTTGCCAAATTTGTTCGAAGCTTTGCTGACACTTGAAATTTGGTACACACATAGTGTAAATATGCAGAAACCAAAAGCAATTTGCAAAATTCAAGTATCTTCATTTTTGCAGTTTTGGTAAGGTTTTATACGTCACCCTAGTTTTATACGTCACCGTTTTTTTAATTTTTGGACGTATATTTATGTATATTTATAAAATATTCCATTACGGTAGATTAGCCAGCATAATTACCTACAATTTAAAAAAATATATATTTTCATCGTTTAGATCCTAAGCTACTTAACATTTTGCGCCTGTTAGCCGTAGTCGTACATTATTCAACATATTAACATAAAACAAAATCGTACGTGTGGGGTAAACCTTTAACTTTTCATTTTCGAGCGCGAGCTCCGCTCTTCGGCGCTTGTATACTATTAGAAATATGCAACAGTAAATTTAAACAATTGTTTACTTAAAGTTAAAGGTTTACCCCACACGTACGTTTTTGTTTTATGTTGGTATGTTGAATAATATACGAGTATGGCTAACAGGCGCAAAAATGTTAAGTAGCTTAGGATCTAAACGATGAAAATATATATTTTTTTAAATTGTAGGTAATTATGCTGGCTAATCTACCGTAATGGAATATTTTATAAATATACATAAATATACGTCCAAAAATTAAAAAAACGGTGACGTATAAAACTAGGGTGACGTATAAAACCTTACCAAAACTGCAAAAATGAAGATACTTGAATTTTGCAAATTGCTTTTGGTTTCTGCATATTTACACTATGTGTGTACCAAATTTCAAGTGTCAGCAAAGCTTCGAACAAATTTGGCAAAGTTTCGAGTTTCAGATGCCGATGAATGTATAACACCTTATAGAACAAAAAGTTTTGCTCTCCTGATTTTCGGCTTTAGCGTCATTATTGTATATATATTGAACTATAGTTTTCGAAAGTTTTATCACTTTTTGTTTATAATTGACATTTTTACAGCAACTTAAAAAAATTGGCGTTTTATACCGTTTTTTCAATCTCACGGCTTTGTTATTGCAAATTTCGTAATCGGACCACCGCCATTTTGTAGCTATTTTTATTACAAACAAAATCATGTCCTAAGCATTTTTTCGTACAAAGTCATCTCGCTGAGTTATTTAAAGAAAACTACTAAAAAAAAATGTTTCACGATTAAATTGTTAATAACTTTTTTCCTGATAAAATACTTTGTCAGCAAATTAGCCTGTTATTGTACTCATCATTTAAAGTAGGCCTGTGTAGTTATTTCCAGGTTATCAATGTTTGACACAGGCCGAACCTCTACCAACAGGACTATAACAAAAGTGTCTGTTTGTACCTTGATATTCGTGGAGGTATACCTGTAAATCCGTAACACTAATTTATGAAATTAAAAATATCTCCTCAATGGTTGGCTTTAGCCATTTTCCATTTTTAGCCAAGTATACCTTTTTTGTTAAAAAAAGTCCAATATTTCATATTTTGTTACTAAAAGCTGTATACGGGGTTGGCAAAAAAGTTACTACATATTCAATGCATAACGTTGCCTGCAGAGGGCGCCTCGTATTCGACACTCAAAAATCATTATTATATTATTTTTCCCATCATTAAAAAACCTTTCTGTTGAAAATTTGAAACATTTCTGACTAAAATTATAGAAATTATTAAGGAAAAACCGTTTTTTATTTTTCACTTTGACACCCTGTATCTTTTTTATTATGCAACTTGGGATGCCCCTCCATTTAAATACACCCTGTAGATAGTTATAGTCAGTAATGTTTATTATTGATAGATGCTTGTGTTTCCTAAAAAACAGAAGTGGAATGGAAAAAGGTTATAAATAAGCCTTCGAACATCTATGATTTAACTAATTATGTTTAGAAAAACGTTGCCAAGGTAATGCTCTCACAATGTTTTGGCTGTATTGCCCTTACTCTTATTGTTTTTACATTTTCTTTCTCACGTTGAAATATAATGAAGAAAAAAGGAGTGGTAATTTTCAAGAAACCGCTCTGTATATAGCAAAAAGCAGGTGATCAAAATTTTCAAACATTATTTGTTCTACAGGTTAGGCTTGGCCAATAGGAGTCAGTGCGAAGCAGCCCTACAGAGGACCAATTGGAATGTTGAATTAGCAGCATCAGCTATTTTAGATACTTGATGATCGTTTTAGAACTAAAAATATTCATCGCATTATGACAAAAGCTCTAGAAGTAGGTAGCAAAATATTTGTCAAACTTGTATTGTACATTAACGTTTCTGCTTAAAGTTCATTGCTTATCGAGAAGTTTTCAATTATTGTAAGCAATGCGCTCGTTATAGATTTCGTGCCAAAGATAATTAAAAACTCGAATTCAAGAATAAATCGCATCACATGTATGCAGCTTTAACACAGTCCATTTTTTATGATAGGCTAGAAAAATTATATGATAAAAGAATTATGGATGTCGTTAACGCAAAGAGAGTTTTGATCATTCTTTTGATGTGTTGGTTTATTTGTTCAGTCTGTTTAAGAAATGGACGGTATGTAACAGGTCTGACGGAAAACATTTCTTAAGTTACATGTTAGTTGAGTGGATAATCAGAATTTGAGTATCAAAATCACTTTTTTTTGTTTTCTTGTATATTATTTATTTTTATGAGTACTTGTGACAAATCGAAATAGGGTTAAGAGAACTAAAATTTTAAAAATCTCCTCATTTGTAATAAAACAAATGCTTGAACATGTCAATGTTTCCAGTGTCGCTTTTTATATGCATCTGAAAAATCTTATGCAGAAGATAAGAAAGAACAAAACATAACTATTTGGAGCATATTTTTTAATAGCTGAAATAACGAGTGTTGTTTTAAATGGCATTCCTCTGTAACTTCCATACGAGTCATTTTAATGATATCAACTTTGGCATTCATGGGCAGAATGGATATTAACAATTAGATGAAAGCAGTTTTGTTGTTGACAGATCGGTATTTTCTTAGTTGATGTTTTAATCGTTCATTCTTTTATTTAATTTATAGAGCATACTTATTGAGTAATTTCTGATCTAATAAAAAGAAAACAATAATGAATCATAGAATAATCAAGGGACTAGCAATATTAGTATTAGTTTTGGAAATAAAACAAGTTAAAACACTAACCTCACTATTGATTTTATTAAATTCATCATAACAGTTTACATTTAATTGTCAGTTGGGTAAAAACAAAAAAATGCACACAAAATTATATAATCACGATTTATGGAAATTCATGGTCGTTTTTAATAAGTGTAAGCAAATCTACTAATTTTGGTGTCAAACGTTATAAAAAATGTAATTCTTTAACTCAAAACTGTTATAAAAATTACGCTATTACAAAAAATCTATTAAGTTGCGGTTAGTGTTTTACTTGTTTTTCATTTTCAAGGCTAATGCTATAATGCTAGTGTATCCATCTGAATCAATTCACCCATATTATTTCTAATCTGTTCCATTACCCTGCATGATTATATCTGTCAGGTATTGGTTCTATCTACGTATAATTTTTAAATTTATTTATGTTAAAATAATGCGGCATTGTATTGCCTTTTGTGGAAATATAAAAGGAGACTGTTACTCGTGTGTTAGCACACATTGTTGTCAAAAATAAACTGATGATGTAGATAGTATTATGTTACGTTTTTTATAGTTTCAAAGTATGTAGTTAATAAAAGATAGATCTATTTTTTATAAATTAAATTGGATAATTGTGAATATTTTATTAAACTATTGCATTGTCAAAACCAAATGTCAAATGCTGACATTTCTGATTTGAAATTCATGATTCGTAACAAAATAAATAATTTAAATTAAATTATATTAATGCTCTCAAAAAAAAATTATTCAGATACGTACGTAGGTTGCTCGATAAGTCTTGTCGCTCCTCTATAAAATGTTACTGTTTTTCGAAGTATATACCATTACTTGTTACACACTTACGCATATGCTCAAACCATCCATCAAATCAGTGATTCCATTTCCCTTCTGAGACGGAAACGCAACATTTGTCCCAGGCAGCTAAAATCTCAATCACCTGAACAAAAACTTGCGTCCTTTTAATTGACTTTTCACATACAGGAAAAATACGAAGTCACAGGGCACTACATCAGGACTGTAAGGAGGGTGATCTAACAGTTCAATACCGGATGACTTCAGAAAATCTATAATTCACTGGGCATGAAGAACTGGTGCATTATTACGATGCAACTGCCAATTGCGCACTTGACATTTTGGTCACAATTCTTGAAGTGAGTGAAAGCAAACACAATTCTATATACCAATCCGCAGTAACAGTCTGTTTGATATCTAAGAGAATTGTCTTGATTGTCGCAACGACCAAAAAAAACCACGATAATTTTTTTCTTAACTGAATGTGTCCGCTTAGGCATATTCGGATAGTCTTCACCTTCCAACAACCATACGGGATGTCATATCATAATAAAATGCCAAGAAGACACTTTAGAAGATCGTTCAGATTTGAACTTTGTGAGCGAACATCTTTTTGCACCTTTTCACATGACGCTCCATTTCCTCGTCAGTAAATTTGTGTGGTACAAGAAGGGTAGAAGCTTTATACTTCCAGTTATTCATTTAAAATTTTATTTACGGTCCATGCAGAAATGTTAAGGGTTTCCTGGATCAGTTTTATGTGATTCGGCGGTCTTCAAAAATTAGTTTTTGAACAGCGACTATTTCAGGTGTAATCATTCCGCATGGCAGGCCGGATGCGGATCGTCCTCTAATTCAAAAACGTCTCTTTCAGACTGTTTGTACCATCGTTCGACAAAAATTATACTTAATAAATTATTGTACGAATTTGAGACGTAACAGACGCAGGTTTACGCCCTGGAAACGTTACTATTCAATGCCTAGGCAGCTACTGAACAGTTTTGACAGGCAAACATGAATATTTATGTACTATATGTAGATATAAAAATAAACCGTTTAGGTTTTGATATTGTGCCAAACAACAAGACTTACGGAGCGACCTACGTAAAATAACATTTTTGTTATCAACCCTTTGGGGTAGCAGTCTGACATTGCAATTGCTCTCACTTAATTGACGAAGTCATTTTATTCTTAAATGCCACATTTGATATTAATTAGACTGCCCGTATAAAAGTTGGTAGAATTATGCCGTTAAAAAACACCCTTTTGATATGTCAGACTGAAATTGGATATTCTTGTTTTTTGTAGTTTAATAAGAAAAGTTTCTATGCTAACCTATCATATTAGTGAACAGTATACGTCAATAAATATTCTTCCATTATACGAAATTTTAGTATAAAAATTTTATCGACAAAAAAAGTTACTAAGATTAGCAAAGAACAAATGATTTCGATTTTTGACAATGGCTTGTTTTTTTTTTGTTTGAGAAAGTAAGAGCATATATGTGGTATCTTTTTTTCTCAGAAACTTTAAAAAATAACTAAATACTAAGTTTTCTATTATCTCAAAATTTGATATTTGAATATTATTATTATTTTATTTTTAGTTACAACAGGAATTGATTAAATTACCCAGTGTTTGTTCCTTTATTTTGTAGTGATTACCTATATATATATATATATATATATATATATATTTAGCTGCAAGCAACTGACTATGAGATCTATATTTAGAAGTTATTTGGTAAAACATCAGGTACTTACACTTTTTAGTCATGTAAAGCTTTATCGGCAATTTTGTTATAAATAATAAATTACATTATAATAAATTCAAATTTATAATTTCTGAGCACAAGAAATTAAATCTCACTTAAGTAAAAATTTCACATATACTTTTCCCAAAAATACCTCAGGATTTACTTCATAAAATATATGCATACTATTATAATTGAGGAACAGAAATATATCAAAACGAATAAGACTTGTAAAAAATGTTTAATATTTTGTGTTAGGAGCAAGAATCAAAATGCAGAAAAATTTTGTTAAGTGGAAAAATCTGAATTTTACTTAAGGGGGTAACGGTACTCTAGGGGTTGGAAAAAGGTGATTTTTGGAAATTCTTAAGGAAAAATCGATACAAGGAACAGAAAGGTTTTATTGTACATGATTTAGGTAGTATTGGATTCAAAATGGCGACTGTATGTGATGGCAAGCAACTACACCTTTTTTTCAGAGGGCTGTATGGCCGAAAGGTTTCCTATTAACATGGTTGTAGAACAAAATCACAAAAATATTAATAATTGGTTTAGTGGACAAATAAAAGTATCGAAGAAGGGTGAAAAATTTTGCCTTAAATTTTTGATAATGGAAAAAAAAACCCTGCGATGTCCCCCGAATTATATTATCGTGGAGCTCTGTAGGAAATTTCAAGTTGATTCGTTTTTACACTTTTAAAGTTTTTCTTGCTGTTCAGCATAAGAAATTTATTATATGTATTCCTTCAATCAGCGATGCCTGTGCCATACAATTAATTGACCTTCTAGGTTGATATTTTCCTCATGCTCTTCTTTTCAACTATAATAGCTAACTATCGCGTGTTCTCACGAGTTACAATAAGAATTCTTGGAGCGTGTTGGTAGTGGTTGCGCTGCACCTCGAAAATGCTCATATTCCCGATTTTTCCCTCACCTAATTTTTTTTCTTTATTCTTCACTCATAATAAAACATTTTTTAAATTATTTATCCAAAAATCGATTTTTTCCAAACTAGAGTGGCTTTACTCCTTAAATCAAGAATATTAGCAATAAACATAAATTCATCTTTCTTATCTGTAGAAAAAAAAGGGATCATTATCTTCAAAAATGGTCATTACATTATTTTTAAAAAATGATATTGATAGTATATTTTATTAAAAAATCTGTTGTGATATCCTCTGCATATAAATATCCCATACTATATAAATTGTTTATTCTGATTCTAATTGAAGAATTAATTTCATCTTTGCGGTGATTTGCATTTTTCTAATTTATGTATGTACTTCCAAAATCCTTATTTGTCAACTTATAAAAAGATAGTTCACAATTTTTTAGTGATAGTTATATTATACATAATATATTTTTCCCCTGATAGTGAATTACTTACATAAATGGTGAAAAATTTGACTGATTAAAATTTAATTCCTTTGAAAGAAAATAATACTAGATACCTACTAGATTTTCTTTCTAAATGTAGCGTTGTATACCCTGTATAAAAGAATTCACACCGCAAGTATTTTTGAATTTTGTTCATATTTAGGTACCATTAGGAATTCTTAATTATAATAAAAAAAAATAATGTTGACATGAGGAATAGCAACTAGTAAAGGTTTTGAGAAATTTGGAAAGATATCAATTTGTTTATTCTGTATATCAAAAAGATTTTTGAAAATCCTAATTAGTGAAAATATAAACTTCACTGAAATATTTTTATTTCTTATGATGGATAATTTTTATCCATAAGGGTTATATGAATATGAAACTGCAAATTGATAACTTTTAAGAAACTTAAAATTTAAAAAATTCAACATTTTCTGAAGCAGAAGTTTCTTACAGATTAACTAAATTTGGCCCAATTTATTATTTAACTAAAGTTAAAAATGTTCTGAATTCGGATGTAAATACCAGTGGTGAGGATACCATAGGAGTCACTATCACTAAAATCCCCAGAAATTCAGCGCCACTGAATATTTTGAAAATTCAATCTTGTAAGTTCTAGTGGTGATTCCAAGAAAAAAAATATCCTTTTATTTATTTTATTTATTACTTACTTTTTTTTAACTCACCTCCATTACTATTACCAAGTACTACCCGAAATGTAAAATAGCACTAGAACTACTCATTTCTCAAAAGAAGTTCATGCGACTTTTTGCTAGAAAAATTATGCCAATTATTTTCTCATAATTGTGTTACATTTAAAATAATATTTTTAAAAAAAGGAAATCCAGAGAACATTTTTTGCAAAACAAAAGTGAATTATTTATAGTAATGGTAGTATGATTAAAAAAATAATAAAAATGGTCGGTTACTAGCAGTTATCAAATTTTGAAAATATTCAGAGATGCCGAGATACTGGGATGTTCAATGTGGGTAATTCTTGATATTCCAATAGATAGATATACCTATTTATATTCAGTAGATTTTTACTTCAATTAGATAAATCACGACCTCAAGTTTCATCATCCTGCATTGAACATCTTCAGAAATATTTATGAATGTAATATTTAAAATTTCAATAACCTGTAACCTGAAAACTTAATTTGCGAATCCACTGCAAAACTTTTTAAAATCGTTCAAATAGTTGCTCTTTATAGTTTGTTGCTCTGTACAGGGTGTTTCCAAAAAAAAGGCATGGTGTCAAAATGAAACATAAGATACAGAAAATGTAATTTTATACCAAAAGTTTATTATTAATATGCATATGAAAATACTTAATAAAAATATATATGGTGATAAATGTTCATTGACAAATATCAAATAAAACTTCAAATGGATATTTAGTAAATATGCATCCTAAAAGGTACAAAATAACTTTTCTTAGTTGATCTCGATGGCTGCACTGCAAATTAGCAGTAAACACTTTTATGCACTGGTAATGATAATAACGTAATTCTGTAAATCAAAAGTGCAGCAAATTACTTTTAAACTTCTGCTTACAGATACAAGTGTAAGATTCTTCTCTAGCTCCCAATTAGGTCTTCACTATAACATTAATGGATTCTTCCATCAATTTTCTCACTAACATTTTGTTTCTTATTTAAATTGGTAGTGTATCAGGTATCAGTAAAATGTTAAAGCAACCCATGAACAATCGACAAAATTTCTATAATCAAAGTGAATATAAATGTTTATTGCTAATTTTCTCAAGAAACGGTGCAGTTCATCAATATCAAACCAAATACTAATACAAAGTTTTGATGATTTTGGAGTGTGGACGTTGGCAGTTCACTTGACATTTTTGATCTCGTGTCAATTTGGCTCATATTTTAGAAACACCTTGTATATAAATATGAAAAGTTACTGTATTTTGAAGTATAACGTTCTAATCATATGCATATAAAATTTATCCCATGACATTCCCTTGAACAATAATAATAATAATAATGAATGACTTAAAAGTCTAGCTAATATCTTGTTTTATCTTATTTACATAAAAGTAAATATACTGAAATGAATGCTTTCAATTAATATAATAACTGAAGTTTGTACTTTCTTAATTATGGATCTATGGTTAAGATCAATGTAAGTGTAATCGTATACTGATCACTAATTTTCAGTGTTGCAAGATTAAATAAGTTTTAATAATTTTTCTCAACGAATATAAGTTTTCATTCATTTTAAAGAAAATAACATTTTATTTGTAAATTATTTTTTGTTATTAACCTACATCATGTTATGTAAATATTTAGATATTAGTTAAATTAAGCTTCTATGTAATGCTTAATAATATAAGTAAAAATTATTTTTCTAAATGGCTTTTAAATATCCCAGTGTTAATTGGAAAAATTATATCCTAAATTATATTTAATTATACCTTACATTGTTTTGAGTGAAAGAGAAACAATCTTTTTTCCCAAAAGATTTCATTTTTATTCAGAATGTAACATTTTTTTATTTGGTCGATTGATTATCAAGAAAATTAATTTTGAAAATTTAAACATGGAGCAACTAAAAAAGTAGGTGGCATCATAGATATAATAGAGATGATCAAAATGACAAATATAATACAAAAATAGGTACTGCAATAAGACCCATGTTTGTTTAAATTTTCAACCTTTTTTTTTGTTTAAACTGACTGAATTAAAAAAATATATGTATATTGCTTTACAGATCAACAAGTCTCTTTAAAAATGAAGTGCCAGTAACCACCTTTTTAATTTACAAATTTGGGGGAGGTAGTGTTTGTGTGACATAGGGGAGAAACATTAACCCATTAATGCCGATAAAAAAAATCAAAAAATTATGCAAATTTTTAATACAAATAAGTAGTAAACATCTTTATTTAACATATTTAGTCAACTTAAAATATGTTTTGTCTAAATTAACCGAAAAACAAGATGTTCCCATATGAGACCTTTAGGCACAACATCACTAGAAATGAGCTACAATGAAAAAAGTAAAAAGCAACTTGTTCTTTTAACAAAACCTTAAAATAATTAGTAAATATTATTACTGAGTATGAAACTTTCGAAAACAGTCAACACATAAGCCGATATTACATTTGCAGCATATTGTTCTTCCTCGGCTACAGTTTTCACCACCACATCGTCTTCTTTTACCTTCAGGAATAGTGGTTACATAATGATGCATGCCATCATACCTTATATCGTTACTGACTCGAAAATCACTTGCTGCTGCCCGAGGTATTCGTCCTGTAGCGCGAGCTGGTACTTTATATCTCGTTAGATATGTCAAAATATGATTCCTCTACAAATTGTTAGCTTTACTCTACCAGCAATATATTTCTCCTAAAGTCAAGTTGACAAACGCTTCCTGAAGGGTAATTTCACTAGAAGATTTACAGCTAAAGATATTAGTTCAACCGAGCTACTGCCTAACGGGCCCATATGGGAACATCAATGTTTACAACAATATTTTACATAAACAAATTATCAATTAAATTATTCTCGAATAGGAGTATGTTTTTAGATTAATAGTATAATAAAACACTAAAAGCAACTAGTATAGAATAAAATATCTAATAATTATTATACTTACACGAAGTTGATGTCCATGTTTTCAATAAACTCGTACAAACAAGTTTTTCACTCGATACAAAAAATGTCAAATGTAAACAAAGCGCCGCATAAGGGCTTCATAAATCATACTGAAGACGTGCAAATAAGCAGATTGACGAAAGCTAACAAAAAATCATTCTCAAACCCCACTTTTTATCTTGACGTTTATTGGCTCTAAATGGTACCTTTAGGCGCTAATAGGTTAAGTGTAATTTCATAAATAAAAGTTGATGGGTGTTGCATTTTCCTTAAAAATGGATAATGAATTCATCTGCAGCATTTGGACGGCAGTGTAAGGGTGGCCCAATTTTGGCAGCTTTTATTTATTTTTCAAACAAATAGAAAAAAGTAGTCATGGGTTTGATTTTTCAGAAAAGCTGAATGACGAAAACTGCATCTCTATACAGGGTGGTGCGAATTTTATGCAGGAAACTTCAAGGGCAGATAGACCTCTTTAAAATAATATGTGTTTGCCTTATAAACATAGGTCTGGAACGAGGCCGTTTTAGAGATACAGGGTGTTAAAGTTATTTAAAAAAATTGATTTTTTGTTTATATCAGGAATCTATCAATCGATTTCAATAAAATTTGGTACAGTTAATCTATGATTGTAGACCTTGTATTCCCTAATATATGAACTCTAAAGTTTTAACCAGTGGTGTACAACTGGACAGGGTCACCCCCCTTTTTATTAAAAAAAACCTACACCACTGCATTTTTTACAAGTTATTGTAACGGATTTATATTCTGATGTACAAAATATGTAAAAAAGGTAACTTGAATTTTTTCCCTAAGATTCACCGTTTTCAAGTTATTCATACCAATACAATCCCCTTGTGCGGGCATTTCTAACCATAATATTACAAGAATATTTATGTTTGTCCTTAAAAGTAAGTGGAATCTGTAAGCACATCAACAAAATTCTTTACACTCGTTTCCACACCACTATCTTTACAAATAAGAATGACTTAAATAAAAATAATAAATGTACATTTACCAAGGGGGAGGGGTAGTGAATTTTCACAATCTGCATATTTGGTCATAAGAAAATCCTCATGAAATTCGGACAAGATCTTTTCAACACGAATTTTCTGTGGACGTGTGGCTCGGAATAATTCGCAATAAAGTTTGTGGACCTTTCTTCTTGCCACTTCGTCTAAATTTCCAGTCATTTCTAAACTTTCTAGAAAACCATCTATTTGAATTATTAGAGGATGTTCCATTAAATATACGACAAAATAGCTGGAGACAATGGATGGCATTCTGGGAGAATAATATAAGAATGGCTTAATGAAAATTATATGGGGCGATGGATAGATAAAAGACCAAATGCCAATGTCAACCATAATGGTGCAGAGGGTCCAGTGTCTTGGCCAGCCAGACTGCCAAATCTAAACCACCTGGACTTCTATGTTTGGGGTTATCTGAAAAGTTTATTCTATTCCAACAGATACAAGACCACAACTACTGCAACGAATAGAAGGCGGGTGTAATGAATTAAAAGAAAACCACCACGATATTAGCTCCAATTAATTCCATTAATAGAAGATGTCAGAAATATATTGATGTGGGTGGTTCGCATTTTGAACAATTTTAAATATGTAACGTTAATTTTGTTTCTTGTTTAGTTGCTGTTGCTTGGTAAATATATTTTTATTATTATTTTGATTTAAATTGTTCTTATTTGTAAAGAGTATTAGGCCTTCAGGGAAAACTTAAACACGCCAGGAACACTCACAGGTGGTGTAATAAGAAGTGTAAATAATTTTGTTGATGTGCTTACAAATTGCACTTACTTTTAAGCATAAACATAAATATTCTTGTAATATTATGGTTAGAACTGTCTGCCACAAAGGGATTGTATTGGTATAAATAACGTGAAAACGGCGAATCTTAGGGAAAAACTTGGTCAATTTTTTTACGTATTTTGTGCATTAGAATATAAATCTGTTACAATGACTTGTAAAAAATGCAGTGGTGTGTTTTTTTGTAAAAAAAAGAGGTGACCCCTGTCCAGTTGTACACCACCTTTAAAGCTCATATTTTAGGGAATGTAAGGTCTGCTATCATACATTATCTACACCAAATTTTATTGAGATTCCTGAGATATAAACAAAAATTAATTTTTTTTTAACAACTTCAACACCCTGTATCTCTAAAACGGGGCTGTTCCAGACCAATGTTTGTAAGGCAAACACATATTATTTTAAAGAGATCTATTCTGCCCTCGAAGTTTCCTGCATAAAATTCAGACCACCCTGTATTTTGATTTGTCTAATGCCCGTTTGCACCGTAGTGTTTAATCCAGGATTAAGTCTGAACTTGGATTAAAATATAACATTTTGTTTGCACCGTTTCAAATCTATGGATTAATCTAGGATTAATTTAAACCCTCAAATTTGACCACTTAAACTTGGATTAATGAGAAAACGTAAATTGACACTATTGACAGTAGGGGAGAGTGTTGTACCTTGGGATACTTTTCACATTAGGAAATATAAGTTTTTTATTTATTAACTTAAAAACTTGTGATATGAAAATTGAAACATCTGCTATGTTGTTTTTTAAATATACATTAATTGAAAAAATTTTCCTTTTTCAACCTTCTACAAAATGGACCATGGTACAACTTGGTCTGATACCTCGGACCTAATACTAGTG